AACAAGTGCATCGCTAGTAGTAACAAGTGCCTTACTAGTAGTAACAAAAAGCTTTTAGAAAGTACCTCCACCCTAGTAGCTTCTTGTTACTAGATGGCCTCCACCCAATAGCGATGCCCTTTGTTACTAGTAGCGTCCTTTGTTCCTAGTAGTAAGGCCAGGAGCTACTAATAGCGTCCTTGCTCCTAGTAGCGATGGCCTACATAGCAACAGCCACCTGAACCCATGAACCCATCGGAGCGCGAGGTTCACGCTGCGCCCAATAAGTCGCCTGTGATACGTCGCCACCAAACCATCTCATGCTTTTCATCGATATCCATGTTTGTGTCCAAAGAAACGCACAAGGGGCGAGGTCGGAGCGATGCAACTGACAGTTCAATCCCAGTCGGGCCAGGCAATGGCTACAGAACTGCAGTGATTCCGCGCGGCACAACAAAGGCCAAAGACCTAAGGTAATTTATCCACACAGGCTCTGAACATCTCCTTATGCTACTAGGAGCGATCGGACATGATCGGACGCTACTAGGTTCAAACTGTCTAGATTTATACATGTTGGCAAGCAAATGTAATGATCATGCTTTAAACAATCCGAAGGCCGGTGCGTCCACGGGAGGTCCACGGCCATGGTCGTATCGACCGAAAGGATGCTTGATTTTCTTAGTGCTTTCTTTAGGAAACAAGTGAGCATCTCTTTCACAAGGCTGCAGGCCACCATCACTGGCTTTTCACAAACCTCTTCTCTTCTTTTTCACAAGTTTTAATGTAATGCTGGTGAGGGTGACCTCTGGCCATACACGTGATGTTTGTTCTATATGGATGGTGAATGCTGCTTCTATGCTGAATTCATCGGGCGCGGTATCTTTCAAAAAGCTCAGCGGTATCTTGGACGGTTCCAGCAGTGCAGCATCTGAGGCCCACCGGTTCTGAATTTTCCATGTCATTCCACCTGCCACATACTGCCCCAGGCCCCTAAGACCACAGGACCTAATGACTCCTTGAACAAAAAACAGATGCAGGGTCACTAGGGTCCAGCTGGTTTCACCGATTCATCAACACCATGATATCATCACATTTCACCTGCCTACCTCACGTCCCGCGGAAAAACAAGCTCAGCATCCCCCGGTCAACCGTTCCGGCCGTCACTTGGTTTTGGAAGATCTCGGAACTCTTTCCGTACCGCAGCCTGGGGAAGACTTTAAACCTACTAGCGATGGGCTCCTATCTACTAGCGGCCTTTCCCGGCCTAGTCCACGTCGTCGAAACTCGAGGAGTTGGTCGAGTGCGTGCTCGGCCATCGCGTTCACCTGCTTCGCCAAGGGTCGTAGTGCTCGGCCTGAAACAGCTGCCTCGCAGCCTGGACGCCGGTCGCGAAGGAAGCGAAGCGGCTACCGCTTCTGCCAAGCAGATGGACACCTGGTCAATCGTCCCAAAACGATCCAAAAAACAAAAGCATCCTGTTGGGAGTCTCCTCCAAAGGCAAAACCATATACAGTTGGCCATTTGATGACTGCTATTCTATGGTGAGTTCGGGGCCTCCTGCAGGCTTGCAGAACTTGTATCTTCATCTCCAGACTTCTCGCCAAACGTTTACGCTCCCGCGGGGACTCCCACACCTTTCTTTCAAAGTTGATTCCTACTAACTACTACCGGGTAGAAGATACAAGTTCTGGCAGTCTGCAGGAGGCCTAGAACTCACCATAAAATAGGGTAACCCTATTCTTGGCGATCCAAAACAGTTCGTAGGGGAGCCAGCAACTGGACTTCGATGACAGATCGATCGTTCAACGAGATTCCGAGGCTACACGATCCGAACAGATCCGGCATCCGCCTGGAGTGAGACCGGCTCTGGCTTGAGTTGATGGTTTTTATTTTGTTTTTTTTCCAGAATCCACCACCCCATTCTCCACCCTTTCCACGGCCCTTTTTTTGCACGTCTTTTCTCCCAGTTATCCCTAGGCTCATGGAGTCCTTCATGTGGTCGCCCCAACTTCTCAGACGTCCAGAAGTTTCGTGGAGGTCTGCGCTTAGTTCGTTCGCTCCACGAGATGTTCGCTTCATCCGATGTTCTGGAAACGGTGGAACAAGCAACGGAAAGATCGTGTTTCACGCCCCAAGCAGACCGCCGCACGCCGCATGGCCTCCAGCAAAGGGGTCTTCACCGACTTCTTCAAGAGCTCCTTGGTGCACGCTGTCTGCTCTCAAAAACACTTTCAGCAACAGCCTTGACCTGTCAACCTCCCTTCTCCCCCATCACCTATAGGGCGATCACAGGTTTTTACGCCTTCATCATCTGCCCACGTTCGTGGTGGGCGGTGGTCTTTTCAGCACCCAACCGGCCCCCCAGAAGGCCCTGAGAACGGTGAAGCGTCTTGTTGCAGCGCCCAAAGCTCTTTGGAGTTCCTGAGTGCGCGGAGGTCCATGTAAACAGCTACCCAAACACGAGCGATGGGGACTGCCATAGGACTGCCGCCCCAGACAGACCCCCCTGGCACCACCACCCCTGTCTGTAGGTAAATAGTCCCATGGAGTGTCTGGGCTATGTAATAGCATCAACAATTGAGATAGGTGAGGGGACAAACTTGTGAATCAAGGTCCGCGTGTACACTTCCCCCCCGAGTAAACAATGATTGAATGAAGCCCACAGCACTTGATGGTCTTCAATGGTCAAACACGGGACGCCCATTTCTCTAGAAACTAACACACTCTTGTGCCTGAGATTGCACCGGGCAGTGCGGGTATATCAAAGTCCAATCATATATTATAGAGAGTCCTGCTAGATTTGCAAAGTTATGCGGATGTATACGGTACACTCCGCAAGATGACACCGATGTACACATGGCCAAAACTCTACCGGGTGGGGCCTGTGCTAGATCAGTTTCGCTATCTTCTAGTCTATCAGCAACATCCCCATGAACTCCAGGCAGTCAGTTCATGGCTTGGCTTGGGTGAGGAAACAAACTCCGTCAGCAAGTGTTGGATGGAAGAAGCAATCGATTTATCAACAGGTTGGTTGGATCAAAGCAACTGAAACACGGGTCAGCCCTTCTGGTCAGCCCTTCTGGCGTAACATCTCCCACAAATGCTTATGATTTCATTACCATCTTCAGCTCCAGTGCCAAGCTGGTCGCTCTCTGCAGTACGAGCGCAAAGCCACACACGAAATAGAACGAGATCACTGTAGGTCGAACATGTACTAGGGTCCCCTGTGTGGGGTGTCTAATGACAGCCCCTTGGAGGTTGCCCGGGGTCTGTCAAGCATCCGTTAGGGGGGCCCTGGTATAGACTGTGGTGTTTGGCTTCTGCCGGAACTTGGACTTGCTGATTCAAAAGCCGGGACAAAAAACACAGCACATCTTTCCCCAGTGTTACTGAGCCCTGGAACTGGCCCAAAACTTGCTCCGCCCCACTCCGGTGCTGCCCAGGTCACTGCTTCCTCGCCGCCAACTCCTCGGTGATCTTCTGCCGCCGTGCCTCCTCCGCTGCGCGGCGCACGGGGTTCCCAGCGCACGGCGCACCGCCCGCCATGGGAGCGACGTGAACGGACGTGGGGCGCAAAGGACGTCGGTAGTGCTGTACCTGCGAGTCGGTGCCTCGTTCGGGTCGCAGGATGTGAGGCCAGTGAAGTAGTTAGACAAGGTATGTATAGCCGGTATAGCCGGTGCCTCCAGCGAACTCGGGTTCAACATTGGTCATTTTACTGTACTTGTGCTTGAGCTGCTTTGAGTACAGCCCATACCCGTAAATGCCGAGTATACAGGTCTCGGGCCCTCTTTGATTTCCTTGCTCATGCGACTCAAAGGCCCCAGTGCGCCGGTAGCATGTTCTCAGATCCACTGGGGCCGTCAAGGGCAACTTCTTCACTGAAAACTGTCCCCACGGCAGCTCGGATCGTGTGTTTGGATGAGCACAGCTTGGACCCGGCGACCAGTTTCTCATTGGATGCATCAGTCAGGCACGGAAGTCCCAGAAAACCCGGTCAAGGAGATCAGCATTGGCGACATGGAGGGCATATGAGGGCATCTCACAAACAACTGTAGGTTTTGAAGTAGAAGCCTGTATACTTTCTTAAAGACTCTTGCTTGGGAGATGTCCCAGCCAGCCTACCTAGTACTTCTCTCTCTCTCTCTCTCAAGCCACTTAAAGCATTGCTACCTGAGTCACCTGCCGCTTGGAGGACCCCTGTCGGACACGCCGGCTTTTTGGTCGTCATTGGCGCAGCATTGGCGTTTTTGAAGCGTCGAAATCGCACGAACGCGTCGTGACCCGCCAGGGGTCCATGGATCACGAAACGAAGACGAAAGATGCCTTTCTACGGAGGGGTGCATCCACTCACTGGATGGGACTAAAAGCCATTCCAACATGGAACTACGGCTTATGTTTCTTCTTGTATGTATATCTTTGTAGCCCGCCAAATGCTCAATGGGAGTGACGGCAAAGTTCTCACAAACCGCCAGCAACATGCCCGGGAGGTGTTTTCTTCAATACCACATTTTGCTCTTTGAGGAAACAGCTGCAAAGACGAAACCCAGAAACCTGCTTCAAAAGTACAAAAAGCTCTGTGTGCAAAAACTGTTGTCAAGCTGCCAAGTCGAGGTGCATCCACTCACTTCTGTGAAAAAAGGCTTGGTGACTTGGGGGTGTAAGCACCCTGATGATCTCGGTAGCATGTGCAGACACTGTGAAAACTCACCAAAAGGAACAGGAGTTGCATGTCTCCATGTTTTTGTAACAAATCTTCGATCCTCACTACGATCCCAGCTTCTCAAATCGATCTCAACCCCTGGCGACACTCAAACGCCGCGTAGACCCAAGGCCGGCATCGTCCGTTCGCATCGCTGTGGCCGCACCGTCCGATGGCGGGGGGCATCTTTGGCCTCTCGTCGTACGGACCGAGAAACACTGCTCTGGTCGTGGAGGAGACTGGAGCATTCGAAGTGACTGGACCGAGAATGCTTCGACGTTTCAGAAAGCTTACTGAGCAAAAGAACGGTGAAGGGAATGCTGTTTGGAACAATATCGAAACGTTTGCTGCTGCTGCTGCTGGTGACTTGAGAAAACCTTTATGCCACCAAGCTAAGCTATCTTTATCTGCAGGATGCTTGATAAAAGCTACTCTATTCTACCAATATATACTTTAATTCCAACGGCAGAATCAACAACAACGACCCAGCCTGCCTCCGGGGTGTGTGCATGCAGTGGACCCGAAATCGAATCAGTTGGTCAGTTAGTTAATCCCTGGTCCAATCCACACAGACACAGTCCATAGATCCATGTGCTGTGTGAACTTATGGTACTTCATCAACAAGAAGTATGGATTCTGCAGTAGTCGCACCAATTCTAGCCTATACTGAATGTCCAACCGCGTCTCTTCCCCATCTAGATCCTCCCACTCTCATACTGTCAGGCACTCCAGGCTTCAAAAAACCGTCCCAAAAGCCCAAACCAAACACCTCCCAAAAGCCCCGCCAGTGGCCGCCTACAAGGAGGGTCCCACGCCCAATAAATCCTCAGCAAAGTGGCTGGCAAAAGGCATCAGGATTTGGCCCAGGAGAGGGTCTAGTTGTTATTTTTCTGGATCTTGTGGTGCTTCGGACCAATCGTCCCAAGGCTCTTTAAGGAATAATCAACACCTCTGACTCTGCGGACTCTGTCGTGATGGCACCACCCTGGGTTGATCCCGGGTCATATGAACAGATCTGGAAGGGATGTTGTATTTTTTAATCAGGAATGCGATTAGCAATTCTGTCCACGTTATACCTGGATCATCTGTATGTAATGATTGCTCCCATGGTTTGGTGGGGGAGGTCAACAAACCACGCTGAAGTCGTGTGGACCGAGACTCTTTCAGCTCTTTCTGGAGGTCTTTGGGCGTCGCCGCCAAGGTTCCTGGAGAAATGCGAGAAAACACTGGGCTTTTTCAAGTGCAAACCTGCTTCATCTCAGTGAGGTTACTTACGTCCAAATTTGCTTTTTGCAAACCTTTTGTTCCGACGTATTGAGTGCCCTACGGTACTGCTTGCGTTTATTCGACTGCTTTTGGGAAATGAATTTGGGACAGCGCTATGGCGTCTCACCGAAGAACTCCCACGCTGTGAAGGCAAAGGGACTGCGCACGAAAGGAATGACATGCTCCGAGTTGAGCCTTTTCGACCGTCAACATCCCCTCTAACCAGTGTTGATAGAATAGGCATGACTAAATGACTAAACGATTGTCTTTTTGTCCAAACAAGGTTTGAAGCAACATGACCAAACTAATCAGCACGTCAATTGCCTGTGGCAGAACCCTGGGACCAGTTGGTCTTCCTCTTGGACACCCCACGGTGGATTTGACACATGCTGCTGCTGAAAGCTGTCCATGATTTCATGATCCATGCGTGCGTATACCACCACAAACAGTGGTCTGCTTTTCTTTTTCCGGTCCAGTCAGGCTCTCCCCACCGTGAGGGACTCTCCGTGGGGTCCTGATGCTGACATTGGACTTGTCTTTGATCTAGGACCTGATTATATTGATGGTTTTATTAGAAGCCATGTCCCTTCCAGGCTAATGATTCTCCTCCCTTTCTGTGCAGCTCTCATTCCAGTGTGACCGCCCATGTGAGCCGTCCTTGCACCTCCTTCTCCAGCTGCCTCAGTGCATCAAAGATCTGGTGGGTATCTCTGGAGGATGAGTACTGTAGGTTCATGATATATCACTCCCCTATGAATCGTCTAACAAGCTTACAATCCAAAATTTTGGGTTATTAATCAAGAGTCTACATGATGTTGGAATCACTTGGCTCTTGATTTAGAGCTTTGGGATTCGCGGCAACAGGCGCCTCAACAGGGAAGGAGAGGTCCTGGGATTCCAAGAACCATTTTTTGCAGGGTCTGAATCCCAAACAACCATGGCTTTACTTTAGACGACAATACCAGGTCAACTGAACGTTTTAAATGGTCCAACTGAAGGCTAAGGGTAGGGCTGAATGTGGGGCGAAGTTGACGAATCATTGGACCTCCATGACTACTTAGTAGCTTTGTAGCTTCAATCTTCCCATCTTCCACCCTAAGAATCTGGGCAACCAATGGGAAGGACTGGGCCTCACCTTCGGGTCCGCACTCCCCTGCTGTTAGGTGACCATTGGTTAACAGGCAACGAGGCATGGATGGACTGGGCCTCACCCCCCCTTAGCGACTTAGCACTTCGATTTTCCGTGGCCCGGAAAATCTGGAAAGGAAACTCAGGAGAAGCTGCTGCTTGGGATGAAACATCTTCCTCAGGCCGCAGCTTGGCTTTCATCTCCTCTTGAAGCTTCTTCAGCCTTCCAGTGTGGCTGCCCTTTTTTCGTGTGAAGCGGATCGAAAAGCGCTGTGGATCCTCATCGAGAGGAGCTGAACACAATGTCTGAAGCACCGCTACCTTGAAGCATTGTACTGTGAAAGCTGGTGTATGACTCCAACAAAGGCATCTAAATCCACCTGTTCCAGGTGGGAAAACGATCGGACACACGGTATGTATGGTAGTGCCCCATGTGGAAACCTCAGGCAAAACATGCACTACATCGATCATGTGAACGAGGGGACGTCGGACGACCGACGGACTCTTGGGGGTCCCAGCTCGGCATCTTTCTCTTTCCTGGCGCAAAGTGAGAGTCTCCTGACTAATCAGGTTTCTACTGGTCAACAATTCTGTGAACATTGCTTCAATTGAGACAGTCTACTGTTCGAAGTTCGAATCTTTGCTGGAGGGCTTGGAGTTTTGAGATTTACCTTCTTGAAATTCAAACGAATACGTAGTCCATCTTGTGTAGATTTGGAATCTGCAAGGCATTCTTGGTGTTCCCATGGTCTGTGTGAACCTTCCTGTTCACTCACTGGTCCCAGCCTGCTAGTTCCAAACTGACCTTGAAGAATAACTAAAGGGGAGTCAGTGAACAAGGTGTTCTTCCCTCACTCAACTCTTTGGAGCTACTTTCCTCCTCACACCTCACTTAGCCTCACACCTCGCAACAAGCTCCACATCTCGACCCAGAACACCCCAACACGGACCTCCTCCGTGCACCTTCCACCGCCCTCCTCCACTTTCCGCCGGACCCTGCGCATCCTCCCACCGTCCACGCCTGGCGCGCTCAGCCAGCTCCAGCTGTTGCTGGCCGTCGGCCACGGTGCGCTCCATCTCATGGATCTTCTTCTGCAAAGCTTCTGCCCTTGGGGCCGACGAAAAGGACGTGTTCGGCCAAATACTGCGTCTTTCATGTTGTTTTGAGCCAAGGGCGAAACGCCTGTGGCTAGTCTTGCACGAATACTCTCTTTAAGGGGGTCGGCTGGAACACGGGCAAATCTGTTCCGGGGGGACAAGCAAGAAGGTTCCTGCTTTTATGGGCCATAATAACCATAGAGAATTCACAATTTTTTGGCAAAAGCAGTTCAACCAAAATCCAGTTTTCTCACGAAGTCACTATCACTGTCCCGATCTCTTCGCCAACATCGTCTACAACAGCGCCTCCGAACTCCGGCGCCCCTAGTAGGGTGTTCCCCTCTTGCCCAACAAATGGATGACCACCAGCATCGGGCGACCAAAACCGCCGGCCAAGGTGCTGCTTCTTCTGCGCCTGCA